ATATATATATATATACATGGATATTGTGTAAACAATTTTTGCGAGATTACTGAACTCTGGCCGAACTGCTAGGGGTAGTTTCACCCTCCTGTTGCGTTATATTCGCCTGGCAAAACGCGCGCTTTGTTACGTCATTGCGAACCCTTATCGACCATGTCTCTCGCAGACAACCCTCGATTCGACATACATCCCTGTTGCGACAAACACGCCAGGCGTCGACGCAATCGGGATGATTATTTCACGTACGTTTGTGCGGAGTTCGCAAATAAATTTTATTTTATTTCTCTCTTCACTAGTTTCTCACTTACGAGTAATTTGTATTAAGATGGATACAATTTGATAAGCGAATCAAAGGTTATACATTGCAAAATCATATGAAAAATCAATATCTTCATATCATTCTTTACAACATTATATTATTCGAAAGTAATAGTTATAATTAATAATCCCTAAAAGACGTTAAGTCTTGAAACATATAATAGTAAAATTATGTAATATAAGTGAATTAAATATATAAGTGAATATAATTAAAATAAAAGAAAGAGAGAAAAAGAAAAAAATGGGAAAGAGAGAAAAGAGAAAATTTTTCTTTGTGTTTATTAGAAAAACTTTTTGTTTGTTAAATTGATTATTATTTGATAATTTGTAGTATATTAATAGCATAAAATATTATTTATTCATTATACAATTATATTTATTATGTTGTTTATATATTCTATATGCATACTGCATTTCGTAAAAAGATTCATAATTTGTTACTACATATAATGTTTGTCTCTCTTTTAAAAATGTATGTTAAGTATATAAATCTACTCTCTGTAAAAAGTAACTGCAGTTGAAAATATATTAAAAATAAATATATGTAATAATAAATATTATATATGAAATAATTCAGTTAGGTTAATATTTATATTTAACAATACAAATTTAAATGTAAGAATAAGATTAAAAGAGGACTCTCAATATTAAAATAATAAATAGTAAATATAATAATAAAAATAGAAAAGCAAATGTTAGAATATAATTAACTAATCTAATCGCAATCGCATTATATGTTTCGGCTGCTAGTTCGAGCTCTTCTTAGATGTACAGAACACAATAGAAATACACTATAAAAAATATATAATGTAAAACGAAGCGCAACCGCAAAAAGTTATACATAATATTATATCGGTGTGAAATCTGTGATGGATGAAATACTTGAATCAGAGGAAACAAAATTGCTCGCCAATTGAAAGATCGATTGAAAAAACCTTTTTTTGTGAAAAAACCTTTTATTGGAAAGAGAAAAGGAAAAGAAAAATTTAATGAAAGATAAAAATTCATCGCTCTCTTTCTCTCTTTCCTCCCTCTCAAAGACTTACAATTCAAGTGTCGATAATAAATATCCATGTCGTCAGCAACAGTCAAAAAAATATAAGTCACAAAATAAATTAAAAACTTTCTATACATGATGTAAAAAAAAAATTGTTACACTGTTACGGAGACAAAATCATACATCTAACAGGACCAAACAGTATTGAGAGCGAACTTGGTGACGCAGAGTCAAATATTGTTTACGATCGGAATGTAGTTTTTTTTTTAGATCGGAAGCCCTCTGTTTGAAAATTAAAACCGTTCTTTGATAATTTTAAATGTAAATAAAAACGTTCTCATTTTATCTTAATTACTTTTTAAAAATATCTTATTATTTTTTGAAAACTTTTTATTCCAAATTTGAAATTTTTTGAAATTTTTAATCCAGATTCTAAATCACTGTCAAACTTTTTGTGTTACTTGCAATACAATAAAATTATGAAAAAAATCTGTAATTTTTTTCATAATTTTTCATTTTGTTAAATACGTGTAATACATTCTTAAACTCAAGAAGAGTTATTGAATAATGAATTTAATAATATCACGTTTCCAACGTATTCAAATAAGCGTGAATCGAAAAAAAAATTCTTTGTGATAAGTTCAATAAATTTTTAGTGAAAGTTCTCATTGCTCAAGCTATCGCAAGAATTCGTCATCGATCGGCTATCCTATGTAAACACGGATTCGTTTCCATCACGTTCGCCAAAATCTTTGGGCGGACAGGAAAATTTAAGATGTATCCGATAATGCTGATTATATCGAGTGTTTAGATTTAACGAGCCTCCACCTATGACTGTCATCCTGGTTGTGCTGAGGACGCGGTGGAGGTGGCCAAACGACGAAATCACCCCCACTCGGGTACATGATTAATCCCCACTGGGAAACCTTTAGTACTTAGTCCATAAGTGGGGGTCTCCTCGGCCCGCAAGAAAGCTCTCTTGAACGAGTGGCAGCCTGATGTTCGTGAACCTTGAATTACCTGTCGAAAACACACGGGAGTGACAATGAATGTAAAAAAAAAAAAAAGAAATCCAATCCGGTTTCCAGATACCGATCACAATATAGACAATTTTGCAATTAATATTCCATGGCAGTAAACATCGAGAGAATTTTCTTTTGGAATTTCGTGGTAATCGTGGAACATAATATTTTTAAAAATTTTATGTAACTCTTTCCGATTTATTATTAATTTCATAATAAAATATATGTTGTATAAAACGTATTAATTTTATTTAAAAACATAATAAAATTTCAGTAATTTAAAAAAATGTTAAACAGTTATAATTTTTTTATTGTTTCAAATAGAATAGATAGCCAAACAGAGATAAACATATAAAATATTTTATAGAACTTTACAGTACAGCATGATATATTCAATTTGGTCGTTTATGATAATTTTACCAGTATGATAATTAATTAGCTCTATGTTCGATGATGTTTTTATAATATCTTTATTAAAATCTCACTAAAATCCGCTCATTAGTTAACAGTATCGCCGATAGATGCGGTGTGGCGTACAATTTTTTGTGTTTAGAAAATCAAACTAAAATAAAGTTCGATTGCATCAAAGTAACGTAGTTGGTGCAACCAGATCTCGTAAGGCGCAGCAATACGAGATCATTCATTAATCCTAACATTCGGTTCGATGACAAATATAAGAGATGTATTTTAGCAGTACAGGTTTTAATTATATATAAAAATTAATTCGAGAATCTTGATGTAGTAAAAAGAAATCCATTATTTTTCCATTCAATTTCATGCAAAAATAATGGATTTCTTTTTACTGCACTTAATATGTTAAAACATTATATATATTAAAACCATAATATAATGGCAATCTGTGTTAAATATAATGTATAAATGTTATGGCGTGCATTTTAAATATTTTGTATTCGTAAAACAATTTACAATTTTTATTATGTAGTTTATAAAAATGTATATTTTGTACATATTTTTAGAAATTTTTATAATAATAATAATAATTAATAGGTTGCCAAATTGTTCTACGCTTATCACTAAACAAGGTAAATTTTGCAGCAAAATATAATAAAAAATTCTCTCCGTGAATAAATTTCTTATTAAAATATATGTAATATGTATAATTGAGCTGTGACTCTATTTACATATTTCTCCTTTTTATTTTTATTATTTATAAAATTATACTTTTAGAATCTGTTATTAATAAGCATTATATTTAAATATTTATATAAATATAAATTAACAAAAGAAAGAGATGGCAATCGTAAATTAAAAGATGAATTATCATGAAATAATAAGTAACGCAAAATTATTCACTAGAGAAGACAGAACTATTTTATCGCGAAAATCTCTCTTTATCGAATGTTAATTCCTATTAGTATTACTCTAATTGTACCAATAATGTAATTT